CTAGTAGGTACCTCCTCCATAGGAAGTGTTCACTTATATGGCAGGGGGGGAGACGACTCTCTTCCGATGTGGGATTGCCTTAGGAAAGGGTCCTATTGGCGAAGAGAGGTAAAGGCTACTGGGGGGTCGCCCGCGTGGGTTAACCCAGGTCAAGCTGAAATCCTTAGTAAAGGGTTCTACCCCTTACAGCTATAAATGCCACGCTAGCGAAAACATATAGGGACAATTTCCACTACCAAATTTACTCTAAAACGAAGTCTTCCAAGCTACATAAGACGAAACATTTGTGCTCTAACCTCTCTTATAGCAGTCACCTCTGCATGGGCAGTTGGATCTGTGTTCCTCAAAACCATGTTGTGACAACTCACAACTATTTCATCGTCACGGACAACAACAGCACCAAACGGACCCCCATCTCCACATTCCACCCCTTTATATGCTTCTTCAACTGCTTTTGTTAAATATTTTTGGTCTCTATCGTGTACAACTGATACACAGAATGCACAACAAAATTTATCAAAAAATAAAATTGGAAGAAAAGTAATAATATCCCCAAAAAATATAATTTCATGATCCACCAATATATGATTCTTGTAGGATCATACAAACATATAAACACCTGCTTACCAAACTGATGCAAGCATACACATTCCATCTAAATTAGCTCATTACAAAATTTACTCATCAAAACATAAGTCATAATTTTGAAGACTCAAAATTGCAATGATGGGACAGAACTTACTACATGCTAAAGCTTATACATGCAGAACCAGTACCTTCTTGATGCCCGGCAAATGCAGAAGCCACAGATATAGTTCCATCTTTAGTTTCCACAGAAATCAAGTTAGATGAATGAATGTTGTTTTTGAATCTAGCCAAAAAACAGAAACAGAATATTTCCATTCGACAATTTGGAAGTAAGATGGGGATTTAATCAGTCAATTAAGTGCACATATACAATGAACTCATGTTAATGGTTTGTGTGTTTAATGGAATTTGTCCGTGCCATCTAATTGAAGGTGTCAAGTGTGTTTTACAAGTCAATTACTTGTCCTACAATTTAAAATATTTTTTATGGTCTTTGTCTTTGGATGGAATTTAAGCAGGTTATATGATTATATCAGCATTTTCATAACCACATGAATTTTTATTTGCTTTTGCATTCGTCGTGTAGATGTAACGCTCTCTAAAACGTTTTTAATGGATAATTCTTGTAATTGTAAAGAAGCAATTAAAAAAAATCCCAGCTAATGAACCCATCTCTCAACACGTAGTTTTTGTGAGATTTCATCTTTTTCCTGGGTTCAAACTTGAATCAACAGCTACGTGAAGGTGGGGAAAAAGGGAGAGGGGAATTGAAAGTGGATGGGCCATCAGACTTTCGTTGGGATACTATACTAACATAAATAATCGTATAGAGAAAGGAAAAAAGTTAGAGAAGAAACTGTGTAAATGAACAATGCCAAACTACCCACATGTATCTTCATTAGCAGCATCATATACCTGAAGGAGCAAAACCATATCTATGACAATGTTGATATAGCACTCAAAACAATCGTCACAACGGAAAAGGCCAATTAACGAACCAAAAAAAAAAAAAAAAGGAAAAAGTCGTAATTGTTTGATTCCATCAGAAAATGAAAATCCCCACCAAGCAAAACACAAAAACAGTTGGGGGATGGGAGTTGCTGTCACTTACCATTAGCTTCCTCCATACGGCTCAGTCGTATGATTCCCGAATCGAATCGAGTCAAAAGCAGATCAGACAGATTCGGATGAGTGGGAGAAAAATGAAAGACAAAAACAGTAGAGAAGAGGATCCACAGAATGGGAAGCTGAAGATCCAGAGATGTCCGGTCCTCCTAGTTAGTGGTTCCACTGCCTTCCCTTAGGCCCTTGCAAAAATGAAGAAATGAAGGGGTTGATAATAATTATTTATTTTTTTCCTTTCACTGTCTACCAGTTTTTGACTTCACCACCAATTCCTCTCACAAGTCAAGTGTCAACATCGGGATTTAATTTAATACTCAAAATAAAATAAAAAAGGGTATAATTACTAATATACCCCCATATTTTCGAAGTCGAACTCGAACTCGAACTCGAACTCGAACTCATGTGGATGGNAATTACTAATATACCCCCATATTTTCGAAGTCGAACTCGAACTCGAACTCGAACTCATGTGGATGGGGGGGGCGACGCCGTTCTCTGCTCTTCCAAAACTCACCACCAGTCTTAAAGCCTGGAATCCCACGCCACTTTCCGGTGGCATCGATTTGTCTGAACAGAACATCAATCGTCTTCGCCGTAGCCGGCAATGGAATAATTTCAAGGGTGCAGAAGCAGAAACTGGAACGTTCATCATCATCAACATTCAAAATGGCGTCTTCTTCTCCGCTGATTGATTTGGGGAGGAGGCAGCTTAGGATTCGACCCAGTCCTGAATTGGGTCTTCTCTCCCTCTTGTTCGTCCTCTCCACGGTAACCTACTTTTCCTTTTCCTGTTATTTTTTCTCACAAGCACCACCGCTTTACCTAGACAAATTTGAACTGGAGCACATGTTCATTGATATACGTCAAATGAATATATACATATGACATGCTCCCATTGGTTCAGGCTATTGGAGCAATTATTTCCTTAGCTCTGATTTCCACTCCGACTATGACCGTAAGTGTAGTGTTATGAATTTTTGCTTGCTATCACTATTTTATCCACACACATCTACATACATACTTACATGTTCTACTATGTATAGTCTCTTGCAAGATTTGCAGCTTCCATGCATAAATTGTCCAAAGTTGTCTCCGAGGAGGTGCCCGGAACCTTGTTCTCCCTCAAACTGTCCGGCCTAGAGATAAACGATTTGACCCTAAAGCTTAGCAATCTCAGGTATTATTATCCTTATTATTATTATTATTACCATTATTACTACTGTGTTTATATTTATTATTTGGGCAAACTTTACCATTTGGTTAGAACTTTTTGCACATCACTCCATTTCTAGAAATAGTCTTATAGTCCTCAAATGGTTTGTGTACTTACCGTCAAAATTTTGGTGCAAATTATCAGGAGAGGAGGCATGAATAAAACCCTTGTCTAAAGACAAAAATATTCTTATATGTTTTTGAAAGTGCAAAATGCCACTGGGCTCGACCCTGATATATTTTTCTTCATCAGGCATTCTCAATATCCTCTCTCTCTCTCTCTCTCTCTCTCTCTCTCTCTCCATAGCCAATGCCAATAGCCATCTACCTTATCGCCGGCGGACGTCAGCAAACCGCCAGGCAAAGCCAGTCGTGAGTTATTGGAGCAACAACAACTCTATGAAATCTTGATTGGAGTAATGTAGCCATAGAAGATCTCATCAAAGCCCTCCATGAGGTTGACTCGTCGTCAATTTGATAACTACTTGAAATAGGGCTGGTAAACGAACTGAATTTTTTGAGCTCGGCCCGGTTTAACCTCGACTTTGGCTCGTTAAAGCTCATTCATGTTGTAACATTAGCCAAAGCTCATTAATGATCAAGTTCGTTTTGTATATGAGTCAAGCCTAAGGGATTGTGAGTCGCAATCCCTTTTTCTTCTATATGTTTGTCTATTGCTTTCGCTCTCTCATTATTTCCTCTCAAATTCTCCAGTCACCTTACTTCTTTCATTATGCAGCTCTCTCTTTCTCACTTAAAATTTTTGTATCTCTCAGATGCTCGACACTACCTATTACTCACTGCGTATCCCACCTCTCTCATCCCCTCCCTCACTCTTCGCCTCCCAGACTCCTTCTCCACCTCTGTGTCACTTTCTCTACCTCTTTATAACACTTTGCCTCTCATTCTCCTCTTCCAAAACCCAATTCCCACACCTCCTCTATCATCTCTTCTAACAAACGATCTTAGTCATGGCGGTGGCACCATCAACACCAATGAACGAAAACACAAGAAGAAAATTTGTACGTGGTTAAACTAGATCTCAGTCTCTCTCTAAGTTCTCCTTAAGTCTCCTGTTTATAGCTCCATTATTTATGTTGATATTTGAGTTATTGTTGCTCTACATGATGGAGATAGAAAAAGGATTTGTTAAGCTTGAAGAATTGAAATTTATTATTTATTCTGGTATTATTATATTAATTAGGAAATATTTGTTTGGCTAGGATTGTTAGTAATATTGATGAGATTTTATTGGGAAATTATTTTAGAATTTGACTAGGAAGCTATTATAAAGTTTTAATAGAAGTAATTTGAGAGTTTGATTATTAGACTATTTTAGACTTTTAGTAGCAAAGTAATTTTTATTTTAGTAGGAGATTTAGCCTATAAATATTGATGTATCACTGCTATTTTCGTTAAAGATTATGAATATAAATTTATTATTTTCAGTGGAGATTTATGTTTCTTGACCTAGCCCTTGCGAGATTTGGTGACCCCCTGTTCTTCTCTTTCTTTCCTTTCCCCTCCTCTTCCCGTTTTGCATCACTATGATTCTTTGATATTGCTCATGATAACTCGTGTTATTTTATTAGAATATGTTGTGTCTTGATTCAGATATATTATTGACAGAGAATAATCATAGAGGGGAGAGAGAGGGTGCGTTGGGGTTGAATTTTGACATGGTATAATTAGACAATTTAAACTGTTGATTTGATTGGATCTTTTGATTTGGTTGAATCTTCTGGTTTATTTGTTTGGATATTTTTGTTATTCGAGATTGAGCACTTATTCAATTGATTATAGTAAACCTTATGGTAAAAAATGAGCTTAGCAGAGCTCAAGGTTTCACATTCCAGCTAAGTCAAACATGATAAAAAATCGGAACCTGGTGTTCAAGCCTAAGATAAATATGAACGTCCCAACATAAATTCAAGTTGAGACAGTTAAATGTGTAAATCATATCAATTTATGGTCGTTCATGCTTGAACATAACCCAACTTTGAGCTTGCAAGTCATGACAGTTAAATGTGTAAATCATAACAATTTCTGGTCATTCATGCTTGAACGTAACCCAACTCATTTATTATTTGAGCTAGCAACTCATGTCATTTTTTGATTTTGTGTCAAATTGAGTCGTGTCAGAAATTACTAACCCTTTGTGTGGGTGGTGAATTTTATTTGCATTGAGAGTAGTGACTGGTAGATGTGTCTGGTTAGCTTGTGGTGGCATTGTGATGCGTGAGTGGAGGTGCAACTTTGGTGGGGTTGTTCGTTGGTGGATGGGTGATGTGTGTGTGAAGGTCCAGCTGTCAGCTGTGGTGGGGGTGGTAGTGCCATGGTGGTGGGTAGTAAGGTCATTTCACCCTTGCTTTAAATGGTGATAACGGAGCCCTTTAATCCATAAACCATATGAGGATCATGCAAAATTTGTAAAGTTGAGGTGGGTGACATACAAAGAGGTCTAACCAAATGGGTTAAATGAAATTTGCCATTATTATTATTCATTATGTACGCTGTCAATCCATTTGTACCATATGCTGATGTCTTGAGCTGTCAGGCATTTGTATATTAGATAACATGTTGTTTACTTGTGGGTTGTCAAGTCAAAACATATCAGGAAGTCCATATGTAAGGGAAGACAAGAAACAATAATCACAGTTCTACCGGATTTGGAAGAAGGAATTACCACTATTGCAACGGTTACAATAGTCACAGGGCAGAGTTTACCTGGTTTGGAAAGATACATGAGGGCATTCTATGGTTCCCGACTTCATAATACTTGCTACATCTTCTGAGTTCTGAGTATGTAATTTTGGGTATCCACACTCTTTGCATAACAGGTTCATTTCTGCCATTTCTACTCATTCTAGACTATGCTTGTTATATTTTGCTCAATCACTTCTTTTTATGCCTCTGTAGATTTTGTATATTGACTCATTTGAATGATAAAAGCCAACTTGAGGATATATAGTTTTTTCCTTTCAGTTGGACTGGATTTAATTTCGTGTAGGTGTATCAAAATTGCGTTGCCGCATACAATTCAAGTGTAAAGCCTAGAGGAGTCTCATTTCAATGAGCAATCTAGTAATGTACCAATTAGAAAGGGTTATGCAGTTGGGAGTAGCTACGAACACGTCATTTCTGTTTTCTAGCAGTTACCACGTTATCTCTACGCCAAAAACAAGTGTGAAGATGTAACAGAAACCGCAGGGCTTTCAGTGGTGAGATAGGAGGCATATCATGTACCTTTTTACAAGAGACAGAAACTAAGACGAAGAAGTTGGTTCCTTGAAGAAGTCTGGTTTTCTGCTGTGCTTTTGTGTGAAATGATCAACTCAACACGCCCCATTTTAAGGATTATCAAAAAAGCGAGAATTCATGACACAGTTATGCGATTCATTGGTAAGCTGGTTATGTCCAGAACTACAAACAAGGAACGCCTGCTAAATGTTTGTTACACTGGGGTAGTAGCGGGCATCAAATGTGAAACTTGGAGATTTAACTACAGTGAAAATATGTCGGCTAATCCAGATAATGATTTGCTTGACGAACTGGATTCAGAAAATTAGTCATTTTGAATACGATGATTGGTTTCCAGTAAAATTGTTCATCCAAATTCAAGAACTCACCAGTTACATACACCATTCTCCCCAAATTCCGAAGGCACGCAAAAAATTAACTCCCCACCTACTCTCTCTCTTTTGGCACTCTTTTGGATCAACAACATATACATTGGCGAACGAGAGAATTTTCTTTTTTTGACAAAAAAGAACTCTACTAACCAATTCTTCAACCTAGTATGAGATACAATGGATGTATTAGAAAGCAGAGATGAGCTTAGGTTTAGAATCCTTTTTTTTTTTTTTATGTAACAAGAAAGCAAGGTTGTTTGTAATAAGAAGGGATGATCCTTTGTTTTTCTTAGGACTCTTCAAGAGCTGTCCCGAATACACATCATATGTCACAACATTGTTTACAGGGATGAAACTGTTTGGTAGGTTTAGAAACAATGCAGTGAAGTGATAAACTCATAATTTTGCATACTTCTTGAGATTTTCACCAGCATCTTTGGCATGTTCTGGCACGGGCATGTTAGTTAGAAGAGTAACCCTTGATGTTGATATCAGAGATTTGTTATCTGAGTTTGATGGTTCAATCTTCCAGAGTCGCACCTCCCATACCTGCACATAGATGCCACACCCATGACCACGAGAGAGTGTTGAGTGATTTTCATTTTAGAGTAAATGCACATAGTGTCAAATATGTAGAGTCCAATGCGTCCCGACAGTCAGGCGATCACAAGATACATTCAACCACTATCCGTTGTTTCTGTGCAAAAGATTCCCGTTTTGGAGGAATTAATAGGTGATTTGTTTTTTGAAAGTAACTTAATTGGTTTGCTTGTGGATAGTTAGTTGAATTAGTATTTGGCATGGTGCTCTGTTTGTGATTGTGATCGTGATCGTGATCGTGGTTGGTTGGGAGTGTTTTAAGTTTTTTCATTTGGTTGGGGAGGCGTGCATATGTGGGTGGGGGCTAGAGTTCAATGCCACGTCTTCGTCAATGTGGATGGGTGGATGGATGGATGGCATTAGTTAGTCAAGTCAGATTACACCATCATATATATATATATATATATATGATGGTGTTAATTAAGTGGATGAGCAGAATGTGTAAATTACACAAATCAGCCCGAATCTAAGTGTTACAAAGTTTGTGAGGATTATAATTAGGTTCTTGGGGAGTTTAGATGACTTGTCCAATGAAAGTATAGTGGTTTACTGAGCTCGAGAGCTCGACTAGTCCATTCTTAAAGGGAATTTTTTTCTCCTTGAATCTATATTGATGGTTGCTATAAATTACAAAGTGTTTCTCATACAATCGGGGGTTTCTCCTCCTCAATGGAGGCCCTGTTCAGTATTTATAGTCCGATTCCAATCTCTAAGAGATTTGCAGCGAGATCCTTGTCCTTCATCTGCGGGATTTCACTTAATTTTGGGAGAGGATCTTGGGTGATTGAGAGTTTCGTGCCTTAATTATTGCCTTATGTTGTTTTGGAGATGCCTCTTGTTAGCCAACTGTTCTTTTCTCATCCCCTTTACTCTTTTATCTGAAGGGAGCTCGAGGTCTGGTCCTCTGAACTCTGGGCACCTTATCTGACCTCCTTGTCTGACCTCCTTTCCCGAACTCGTACTTAGCTAAAATACTTTACATGTATCATCAGTTGTTTTCCAGCCCTTAGTTCAAGCAGACTTAGACAAGGGCTGAACTAAGGCTGAGTTGAGGTAGACCTCCATCTGGTGGCCTTGATATGCGTGCGAACAGGTTTTTGATGGTTATAAGTAATCATTTTTTCACTCGTTTTTCGTGTACGTTCTCCTCTTTGAAATCTCACGTACTGTTAGCTTTAAATTCCCTTAGATTGATGGGAAACGACTCTCATTTCCTTCTTTGAATTCTCTCTCCAAGCGTTACCCTTTCTTCTTTTCTCCAATCCGGCTAGTGTCACTAGGGTTTTGCAAAAAATCGATTCCCTTTGATTCGACTTGAGGTTTCAACAGAATCCGCTCTTCGTCTTTGTCTTGAGCTTTGGCCCACCGTTTATCCTTACCTAGGTACGCTGCTTGTCTTCTGTTCATTTGTTCGTTCTGGATCCCTCGAATTTGAGGTGGTTTCTAAATTTTTGGACTTTCCGATTATGTTATTTTAGGAACCGAGGTCGCTCCTTGTCTTGTATTCACCTCTTTCTAGACCCTTATTCTACTGCTAGGATCTTTGTCATCGGTCGCTGGTGTCTTGACCCCTTGACTCTCAGAGAGTGTTTCTCAAAGATTCCTCTTTTTTATAGGTCTTTTAAACTTCCTTATTATTGCCCAACTGTGTATGCTTCTTCCGAAGCCATAGACTCGTCTATTTCCCTCATGGGAGACATGTCTCCCAAAGCAAAGGATATTGATTTAGGAGACGTGGGAGAAGAGATTGATAGCTTTTTTGGTGTTGATTCTGTCGACATCGAGAAAAATGTTGAGGAGCCTCCTT